TTTTTCTTTGTTGCCCTTTGTTGCCCTCTTGTGTTGGTCTCATTTTTCCTAGCTCCTTCTAGAATCCTCTGTTCACACCTGCTCCCAATCAGCTCATTAGTCCTGTCTTTGTTCAGCCTCCCATATATACTCTCCCTGTGCAGTTCCTTGGTGCTGGTTCCTCATTCTTTCCGCAGGTGAATTTTTCCCCATGAAGCTGTCTGTTTTTTTGTTCTATGTATTTTGTTCTTTGGTTCAGTTGCTTGTGAGTAATTCATTAAATCTTCAAAAATCCCCTCTGCCTCCTCACCTTTGCATTTGGGTCCTCAAAATCTCAACCCAATCGTGAAATCTGCAGTATCTTTCAAGGGTATCTTGGTTGCTTTTTGCTCACATAAGAACTCAGTGACACATACATACTCTTAGAAAACCTTTATTGCATAAAATCAGTAAAACCATACAATATGTACAACATCATCTGAAAAAAACATGTGAAATTTCATAGATGTATGAATGAGATCTGAAGCATGTTTTTCAAATATAAGGTATTTGGTACAGAGCTGCCAGAGAGGAAGTGAAACCCTCTATCTACCTGTGGGTGTTTTCTTAAAGACACATTTTGCTGTAGATTATCAGTGTAAACATGGAGGTGCTTCACTCTTCCGCCTGTTTTTAACCAGGCCAATGTGAGGCAGCACAGATGCACTGTAACATCTGAAGCTGAACTGACTTTAAATCTGTAAATACCAGAAAAACTTTCTTCTGCAAAACAACATAATGAGCCTAAATAAAGAATATGAACTCGGGCTGATAAGCCTTAGAGGTGCTGGAGGTCTTTGCTCCCTGCAAGCCGGAAAAAGTCCTTCACAAAAGTCTGGGAAAGGTAGTTTCTTCACAAAGCCAGCTTTGTTCTCAGAGTAACATCCGTGATTATGGAGGAAGGCAATGATAAAAGACCTATCACAGTGAAATGGGAGAATAATACTGAGTTAAACTCCACTGGGTCCCTTTATGTAAATGTGAGCTCCAGACAAAATTATGGAAAAAAAAGAAATTCTCGGATTGCATCAATAAATATCTTTAATTTCAACCATGTTAGAAAAATCGAAATGTGCAATCTAAAAAAAAAAGGTAGATCTAGATCCAACTCTTTCCTTTTTTTCTCTACAACTGTTTACCTTATTGCAGGTTTGACTCTCCTCTGAAATCGTATCATGTAAACTATACTGTTAAACAGAAAGCATCTTCCTGCTCTCATCCAGAACAGAGCTGTGAGGTGAAACTGTTATCAGCAATCCCTCCCTTTTGTTTGCTCTGCAGACATGAAGGGCTTAAAACACAAAGATAATGCCAACCGGAGGGTTAGTGCTTCCCTTTTACAGACAAACATCTTCAGTCTTCCCTCGTCATCAGACACATTTCTACCAACTTGAGGATATTTGTTGCATTTACACAGAAAAATAAGACTTTTACAAAGTACAATAGCTTTCCTAACATGATGGTACCCAGATAAAACAGTACTTAAACATTAAATGATATATTCATAGCAGCTAAATAATCTCTCAAAAGCAAACACAAAAAAATCATTTTATAATTTAAAGTACACTTTTTTTTTAAATGCATCATAAACTCTAGAATAATTTTGATCTCTTTTAGGCTGGAGAGGCCAGATTTAATTTGAAGGTGCTCACAGTGATCGGGTTGATAATAAGGCATCTCAAATGATCACTGATAGAGAACTGCAGCAAAGAGTGGTATCTTATCAAGTCTCCATGACAACCATTGGGCTAATTTGGGACCGGGTCCTACCCTTACAAATGTAAATGTTAAGAGTGCAAAGAATTAAAGATGAAGATGTAAAAAAGAAAGCTTGTGTCTGCTGTTAGGTCGGCTTAAGACTCTGATTCTCATCTAAAGGCAAGGAAGAGGTTTGTCAGATTACATTAGATTATTAATTAAACTGATAATGTCTCACATTATGGTCGCCGAGGGGTGCAAATGGCCTGTGATGTGCTGCAACAAGTATTAAAACGATACTAACAACTCATAAGACGCAAGCAAAGAAACAAATCCTAGAAAGAGTAAAAACAAGTTAAAGGTAAAGAGGACAATCTTTTATGTCCGGGTGGTTCAATCATTCTGGCGATATGTTTACGTAAGGCCTTCCTAGGTGCTCGTCTTGTTAGGTCCGTTAGCACTTTCAGGTATATTTGTGGTGAGCTACGGTTCTCGACAGTCATTGAAGCTCACCTTTCTCCCCGCAGTTCTTTGAAAATGGCCGAAGGTCTTAAGAGAAAAACTGCCAACGAAGTGTATGAGAAGAAAAGAAAGGCATCAGAAGAGGCAGATATATCCCAGAATGCTTTGCACGGAGAGCTCTCCTTGCAAAGCACTATGGAATTTGCTGTCACAGCGGCCCGCTTTCGCTTCCCGACAGTGACGACTAATAACAAAGATGGCGCACGCACCGTCCAGTGGAGGAGGAGTTACATGACCAACGGGAAGCAAAAAGCAGTGATCATCTGTCTAATGGTCAGTTAACTGAGCTCCCTATATATATAGTCCCTGCTGTATGTGGACACATTAAGTTTTGTATGAGCTATGAGAACAGCAAATTTTAAACAGAGTGTGTACAAGGAGTAAAGGGCTCGTGCTTGCCCTTGTATGCACTTTTTTTTTTTTAAAGTGGAGAGGGCGGGTCTTTTAAAAAATTCTCCACAATAACTTTATGAAAAGCTGTAAACTAGCTTCACATAATGGAAGGCCAGCAGAGGGCGATGATCAACACATATGGAACAGACCAGATTCTTAACTAAAATAAAAACAGGATACCCATCCAGCAGACATTTTGAGGGATAAAAAGAAAGGCACGTTTTCCTTTTACCCTTTTTTGAACACTAAATCATTTGGAGCATCCTGTTCCAGTTTTATCTAAGAGTTAAGCCCTGAATAGATTGGTAATCGTCTCCCCTGAACAGTTTTCAGCAGCTCCAACGTGAGGGGCAAGTTTGCAGCTTTTCTTAACTTGCAGTTGTCTTTGCTGCTGGCAGCATTTTCCTTTGCATGTGTTTTTATGTTACTGTAATTTATTAGCCTGACGTAGTCCTACTCAATTCTAGTCAGCATATGAGTCTGATGCTGCACCA